TATTCAATAAACTAAAAAGAGTACAACATCCTATAAATAATATATAGACAATTAATTGAATTGATTTTTTCTTTTTTATAATGATGATGATACAATAGAGAGGTTTGCTTTTCATAATCAATTTGATTTCTGATGGATCTGCATCAGCTACTGCGAACTGGTGAATACCGTTTCAACGAGCTCGTCAATGTCGAAACACGGAATGTCTCAGCCCAGTTTCAATGTCTCGAAAATCGACATGTAGTCAGGTAGCCCAATGTCTGGTCACCAGAGAAGAGGATGGTGGAAGGGAGATGAGACTTAGAAGGTGGAAGAGAAAGTAGTGAAGTACCCATCAACATAGCAGATAGATCTCCCGCACAATCCCACTTCCTCTTTGGGCATCTCTCTCTCGCCACATCAGCAGACAGTCCCCTCTGACGCACTCCGACAATGAGCGGATCTCATCATGGCGCTTGTCAGCGCAGACACCTTATGAAGACGGACAGCAGTGCACAATGTCGACCACGAACGCAAACAGGTAAGCTTCCACCACATTGATCAATATCACAGCCCTGATTCTTATCCTCCTCGCCAGTACCCTATCAATGTCATAATCAGTGTGGTGAGAGCCACAACAGCATAGTCAAGTACCCAGCTGGCGCCGAGGACAGAGAATGGCGCCAGCATACAGCAATTGCAGTCCTGTGTCGTCGTCGCATCAGCGTCCAGCCAGCGTAGTGGCAGCACCAAGCTAGCGTCCAGCCACCGCCAAGCAGCATGTGCAAGACTGACTGTCGGTCAGCAGGGGCTGGGTCAATTATAGTGTTGACTTGTGTTGACCAGCCTCTGGTCTCCCAAATATGATGGCCCAGATTGTCTCGCAGCCAATGGACTGGATCCTGTACAGTTGCAGATTCCCACTTGGACTTGATTCCTTACGGATACCTGCAAACAGCCAAAGGTGTGTGTCTGATCGGCGGTCTGGACTGGGTTCATGTTGACTTTGACTCGCGGGTCAAAATTTCCGAGCTGCTGGTGACTGTTGACGTTCCTTGGTCAACTCTCGCACGTTGGGCCTCTGAAGGCCGATTTTGGCCTGGCCTTGGATACCCCACAGCAGTAGGCCCCTGTTTCAGCATTTAAATGACTTGGGCGCGACATCTGACCCCCGTTTCAGGCCTTTCACCAAAAGTGATGCCCGCAGCCCACGTCTGATGCATGTTTTGAGCTGAGTTATTGCATGTTCTTTTTTTTCACTATATAATATATATGTTTTTTTTTTTTGTTTTTTTTCTTTTTTTTCACTATATAATATATATGTTTTTTTTTTTTGTTTTTTTTTTTTGTTTGTTTGTTTGCACGCGATCCATCATCAAACGATGCACAGCAGAGGTTCTAGATCAACACAGATAAGGAAGGGATTGCAAAAGGTCACATGTTTGAATCTCGGTGTTATTGCAGAGCAGCGAGGGTAAGTAAGGGTGTCATTGGAAATGTAACTCACAAAGGCAAGTGCAACAGCAGTGACTGTTAGGCTGACACCAATAAGCAGACGTCTTTGGACGATTCCCTCAGCGCCTTCTTCGATTGCTGGTCCTGCCAAGCCGTCCCCTTCGCTAGGACCTCCTCTCGTTAGGAATAACTGAGCCTCCGAGAGGCCCCACTTATCCGGTGAAGGTGTTGCTGCATCTCCTGCTGCTCAATGACGGCACAAACACGGAGCACCACCGCTTTCGGAAATGGTAAATTACAAACTACTGACGAAAAGCTCACAACGCGTGAAAAAGTCCCTTTTCAATTAATTTTTTGATTGGAAAAAAAAAAAAAAACATTTTTACTTGATTTCACAAAGTGAAGTGAATCCGAATGGAAATGGAAACCAAAATGGGACTGGAATCTGACCCATGATCATACACACACATACAGACTCGCACACACACACACACACACACACACACAGACAGACAGACACACAGAGAGAGAGAGAGAGA